TAGTAGTCGTAGTAGTAGTAGCATGGAATTATACCCATATAGCGATAGACTTGGCAGGGCAGCGAGCATTGATTACAACGCTAAAAACCAACCTATTAAAAGGGTTGGCAGCTACGCGGCCCGTTCTCATATAAAATGAACGAAAGCAACGTGAATCGCACCGTATGGAAGGAGAACTCGGTGGCTATAAGTTGCAAGAGAATTACAGAGATGGAATACTCTGGAAGTGACTCTATGGATAGGATGCTAAACGAACATATCACTTGTAGGAGAGGAAGTGAAATTGCATCAACTAGATTAGAAAAAGCACCACACCATATGCTGACCCGACAGCAAGAATGGCGCTTACAATGATGGAGGAGGAATTGCCAGCGGATCCGTTGTCGCACTGCCCGATGTTGGAGCCTAAATATATTTTCATTTGGAATTGACATTAACAGCATGTACTACAAAAGCAGTGATATTACACTTGTGATAACCCAAAGGATAATCCACTTTAAAAAATCCCCACCCCTTCGCATAGAATCAGTACAATCTCGATACTCACAACAAAAATTTTTTTCAAGGCGGGTAAGTTCATAACATTGAACAAGAAAAAAATCTATTAAAAGGCAACTACAGATGCCATAGTTGTTAATTAACAGTATTACATATGAAAACAATTTTTTGCTCAGGTGCACTTCTACACGGTTTGACTAATACAAATGTAGTTCATCGCTGTGCTATGGAAAAAAAAAGTGTATGGTTGTTCTTGAAGTAATCATTTCTACCCCAATCAAATGCAGAGGAGCAATTTCCAAAAAAACCTACCTTGTCGAAATGATTAACAATTCTGGTCACTAGGTGAGGATGTTGCTTCAGTATATCGTCCCATCCAGGCGTTGATGTGATGTATTTAGGACGTTGAAGTATAAACTGCAAACAACGATAAAATCAAACTCACAATGAGTAAAAAAAACAAAAAAATGGGAGACAAACAGTAAAAAAAACCCTTCTTTTTACTTATACCGACTGTTTTTAACAAAAAAAGATGTTTTAAAAAAACAGAAGAATAATTTTCAAGTGCTTTCAAGGCTTCTATCAAGGGAAGGATACTTGATCGAAGTGGTGATTCAGGAAGCGAATACCTGTAGATGCGGTTTTAAACGCTAGTTCTAAATCTACCTTCCTTATCTGCGAAGCCTTTTTATGAAAAAAAGTCATGGAAGTTTTCTATGCAAAAATTAGCTTGTACGCTTAGTCAAAATATGCTATAATTCATCAAATAGGGCATGAACTAACAAGCAAAGGATTGTTTTATTATAAAGACATGTTCTCATTGACTTTGCGCTGCTTTTGGGTCCAGTTTGAAATTTGGATCATTTCCAATCAGACCCTGTAAGCATTTTCAACAAATAGAAACGTTCATAACTTCTTCCAAAAAAAAAGGCTTCCAGATATTTCCTTGTAAGCTCATATTTTTGAGGAACCTTTCTGGATAAACAAAAAAGAAAACTCACCTGTACAGCTCGTTCCTGCAGTCGTTCAGCATTGTACAAATCTCCTAATATTAGTAGCTGACACACATTTTCATTGGACAAGTTCTCCACAAGGAATTTCTCGCAGTGATTCTAAAACCATACATCATAACGATTGAAAGGCATCACGTCCTACATCTCAACAGCTAATTTTGTCGTTGTAAATTATGACACAAGCACATTGATAAAAATTTGGAGGGATTTTATGAACGAATGCCGAATATGGCTATTATGGAGCAAAAATAGCACGTTAGTTGCATTGTTTTTCCCCATAAAGGTGAAAATATTGAGCAAAAGCAAAAAAAAACTGCATGCCAGGTGTTTTTAATTTTTTTGTCACAGAGGTAGAAATCATCTGCATGTATGTGACTGTGCAACCACATAGTCCCACAATGAAAATAGTTCGATTATAGTTGTTGATTACCTTCAACTCCACCAGTCGATACTTGTCAGCTGCTATTAGCAAATCGGTTGCTATGTCGCCAATCTCTTTTTGGCATCTACCACAATAGATATAATAGATAAGCTCATAGACCACTTCATAATCCAGATCACAGATTTCCAGGATACCCTGTAGATAGACGAATCAAAACGTGATCTTTACTGTCCGCATACCATTAACAACAGCAACTACTCACACTCTTCGTCTCATTTGTCAATTCATGCATAAGCATCGCCTGGAATACGGGAGACCTGAAAATGAGAAAATCCATCGAATAAAATTAATTATGTTCGAGTTTTCCTGCTTTGAAACTGCTTGGGAAATGCACGCATATGCCCTGCTGCAGCCCAGATGTTTGGAGCTTTGTTCTATGGTGCATTATTCTCAATAGAAGTACATGAAATGGTATCGAAGAATACTGCCAATGTGTAAACACGAAGTACAGAACACTCTTGAGTCTAGTTCTAGGATGCTTAACAAATTCATTGCACCACTTCAGGAGAATGAGTTTTCAAGGTTCCCAAAAAAAGCTTTGTTTTAGGATCCAACGTAAACGATCATGCGAACGTTGAACAATTCATAGATTTAATAACTCTGAAAACAGAAAACGAGATAGTAAAGGCATTGAGAAGAAAGCTTACCTAGCAGCCAAAATTGCCCTATGAGCACGAATTTCTCGTCCTCCAACCCGAATTGTAAAGTCCGTCAAAAGATCGTCACGGAACAATCGTTGATAGTCCTCCACTAGTTGTTGCTCGCAATTGGATGTCTGCAAAGTCGACAAATTCAGATGGACCTCTCACCGAATAATTCATATTCGCAATGCATAAAAATTATGTTTTCCTTTCACTTGCTATATAAAAACTTTCTCAATATAAAATTCAAATTCCTTTCGGTCCCATTTATCCCCAATAGTAGTGCTCGTGTCTGCACTTCCCCAAACTCCCTGTGGTTCTCATACTCTCCTTTCTAGTACAAGCCTCCTCTCTTCGCGCTTGCATTTTCAACACATGTTAAGTACTTCTTGTGAACGCACTATGGACAAATAAGAACTCAGTCGGCGTTCACTACAGGAGCACTTTTGTGCTTGCTCAACAGGGTGGCACATTAATGAGGAAGGGGGAGTTTGAAAAACGATAAGACTAGGCTTTCCGGAGAGGAGGAAAATGAAGTTGAAGTGCAACTCTCACAAAAGATAATTCAACTCGTTGACGGCCGTACATTATTTACGTGTCTG